CTTTTCAATAGTCTATATCATGCTTAATTGGTCCAATGCCAGTGAAGCCATAGTTCTTTATCAAAGAACAGGTGTTGATTGGTGAGGGGTTGAGCGAGACCGGAATGCCTTCCCCCCCCCCCCCCCCCAGCTCCATCCCGTCGACAGGTACGCCCGCCCATATTCACTCACATCCCGAACACAGTTCATCCTCTATGGGAGGTTCCAATCATAAAGCTAGTCGGCTGTGTTCATACTATAGAAAATGCACAAGGTAAGCATATTCACCTGGCTGTATTCCCTTGCTAGAAGCTGCCTAGAAATTCTTAGATCTGAAGCTTCTAACGTTTCTACACCTGTATAGCTTTTCTTTTCAATTTTCACTTTATTAGCTGTGTCCATAATAACCTCTACTTTTTATCAAAAATAGGCTTAATTTATTTTAGTCACTGATTATGTAAGTTTCTAGGAGCTAAGAAATCTATACATCGGAGATAAATCTCTTTTTTTTTAAATTGATGCTTCATGAATTCTTATTCTTTTGTCAATTGAAACAGTGCATAATATATGCAAAAGTGAACTCTCAAATTACTTTGTACTGCTGTTTCAAAGAATCTTAGAGAGACTCGAGAAGTTGATTGGATTGTAATTTTGCAAGTCCTTCGAAAGGTCACATGGGCTGAATTGATTTCTCCGTGGTAGTCATTCCTGGACTTCCATTTCTAAAATTCTAGTCATGACCAGCTTTTTGGTAAATCTTTTACCTGTACTTTGCATCCTAGAGTACATTCAGTTTACCAGATCATCTCTCACTGAAAATTGAGGCATCATAGAACGCCTGTTTTCTTCCTCGGAAAATTTCGAGAGCTCAACTATTTATTTTGGATTGATCTAACCTTGATTTCAAATTCCTCACCCATCAGATAACTTCACACGGGTGGCAACTGCAAACAGCCAAAATCTTTAACAATTCGGAATTTTTAAAGAACGTTTCCCTGGGAAAATTCTGTTTGATTTCATTGAAATCTATCGCCACAGTTAAGTAAAAAACTCATGTCTGGTCGTTATAATGTTTTGCCTAGTCAAGCTTTTTAATCCGTTTATTTATCATCGTTATGATTCAAAAATCACACCATGACGCTGTTTTCACGTAGTATTCTCGAAAATACACCTATCTGCCTTGCTACAGCGTGTCCCAGAAAGGTCAACTATTTTTGATTGCCTTTTCGCCGTCAGCTTTCTCGGACTTTTGAGAAGTATGTTGTAGAGCCTTCAGTTTGCCTTTACAGTACAAAACAAATCACCTCTCGTTCTTCACTTCTGTAGGTCACGGTAGGAGATTCCACCACGATGCGGCCATTGCAATTAGCTGCCGTTCCCGTGGCCCAAAATTTCTGGAAGCTTTTGTGGTGGGATTTTCAGAACCACTGGTTCTAACCTGGTTATATTATCTGCTCTACGAAGAAGTGCAAAGGACATTGCACTTCTTCGTAGAGCAGATAATATAATCAGGTTCTGAGAATTAGTAGGAAAATCATTGTCGTTCATCTGTCTGTAGCTTTAAGCCAAAGATTACGTTGAGACGAAAAGCTTATGTACGAATAAACAATGCTGCTCATCGTTGGGTTTTGGCTCTCATTGGTTTAAAACCCTCTCGAATGCTTCCTACCGTAATCTTACAATACCGAAAAATGACGGGTGACCTGTTTTATACTGTGCATTTGAACTGAAGCCATCTTTACTATGCTTTTCAAATATCCGCGAAAGGTGCTGATAAAGGAAATTATTAGTGATGAAACATTCATTGCATTTCTCAGGAAACCCTGTCTATAAAGACGAAGTAAATGACAAACCCTGATCTTTTTTTAGTCTTGTTTCTTTGGGATTTACTTAGCCATGATTTATTAATCAACAACTGACCTGTTGTGGCATGATTGGTTCAGACTTCAGGGTTTAGAAAGAAGTTATATATGTTAGAACTATTCGTTAGTACTACGTTTCATACATAATCTATGCCGAGAACAGTCAGGATGAGCTCAAACGCATTGTTTAGCTATAGGAATAAGTAAATGTTCTTTCAAGGTAGTGGGAACCGCTTATTCAGTAGGAGTGGTACGACTAGCTGAACTAGAACAGATGATATTTGAATCTGTGAACTAGTAGCTCCTGAAACTTATTTCAAGACAGAATAACCAGTCTTTAGAGCTATCATTGATTCTTTACATTACTGCGTGGAGTTCTCACAAGGGCATTCACAATTTTTGGCCAATCCATAAGTTGACTGACCTTCACTACTGCTCTAAAAGTTGAAGTAATTCATCACAGCAGTTTGGTGTAACGTGCCGTAATTGATGTCTTTTGAAGCATTCTTATTAGAAGGAGCGTGCGCAATTGATTCACTCAAAGATCTATCATTCCGAAGAAAAAAGAACACGAAAGGCGAGAATATTATTGCTAAATATAGTCTTCGGTAATTTTTGTCGACCTTAATTGGCGAAAGCAAAAGTGGCGCTATTGCAGGAAGAAACGAAAGTGTCGATAGACAGAAGGATCCTATGTAAAGGTTTACCGCTTGGATATGCATTTTATTTCCTTGAAATTTGTAATTAGTTTGCGTGGAGTTGATTTGCAGCGAAAAAGTTTATTTTACATACCTACCATGATAATTTATCCATTTGGTTAGTGTGTCAAAATTTGATTTTTATGCTAGTCATGAAAATCAAATTTTAGCACATACAGCTAATCAACAATGTCCTCATGTACGAATTTTTCATCATTGTCATCTCAACAATCGATATGAGATATAAGAGGCTAGCAGTGGCGTACCCAGGATTTCGGCTCGGGGGGGGGGCGCGGCAAAAAAAATTTTTAAATGAAGGTGCGTGGCGTCAGCCACGCACTCCGAAAAAATTTTAGGGGGGCTTATCAACAATTTTGCGGGCCCTAAACCCATAAAATCTGGATAAAGGGGGCGTGGCGTCAGCCACGCCCCCGAAAAAATTTTTTTTATAAGGCTAATTTGAATTTTTAAAAAATTTTAAAAATTATTTTAATTGTTTACAAAAATAAACAAGTCATTTGCATATTTTTATAACGCATGTAAGTAATTTTCAAAAATTTCGCGACCCGTTCTCGGGGGGGGGGGGGGGCGCGCCCCCCCCCCCCCCCGCCCCCCCCCCTCGGTACGCCACTGGAGGCTAGGTACCACCTTTCTAATGTAGACTTCGAGCTAGCTCAACCAAATCTTCTATAGAGTGTTGATTAGTGTGCAGTCTAGCTTGTTTGCCAATCTGTTACTTATGTGTTTCAATAAAAAACATTTGCATTATCCCTTATGAACTGTCTTAAATTGCGTGTCAGAATCGGCTAAACAGAATGAGTTGCTCTTTGTCATTCCTGCATTTTTTTAGAAAGACTTGTTCTTCTTTGGTAATCGGTATGGTCAGGTGAAAGCCACTTTTTGCCTCCTGTAGCTCAAAAATCTGCAATTTTTTATTGGATTTGTTGACCAACGCTTTTGAAGACACTTATGGTAATTTGGCTCAATCAACAGCAACAGCTGCAGATTAGTAATGCATTTCACGCAAAATTTTTCTTACTCTGACGAATGTGAATGTTGATTTGGGTGGGAAGTTTACATGATTACGAAGCTATATGTGAGAATGTTCTTTTGTATTAAATTTACTTAATTCTGCTATTTACTAGAGATACAGGGTGTCCCAAAAAATGTTTAGAACGTTTGATCGTTAATATCTCTCTTCCCAAGAAGTCTTTTGCCTTGCTTCAGGTACCGTTTTGTAGAGCTGGCTTCAACTTAGATTTGCATTATAGAACGAATCACTCATCTCTCTTCATTACTGTGGGATTACGGTAGAAACTTCAAAGAGGGTTTTGAGCAATGAAAGGCCATATTTTGCCTCAGAAAGGAAACAAAACAGCCTCAAAACTTTTATGCTGGGCTAATTAGAGTTGCTGATTATAACCGTAAAGTTCCCAACTTATTATGATGCTTCACCGCAGAGTTATGCCAGGTGAGAGGTAGCGGCCTTTTTTTCAATGTTCCTAAAAAGTGCAATTACACCGTTTAGAAAGCTTTGTAATCTTGTGAATAGTTGAGTATTGAACTCAGCGTCTATAAAAACCCTATTACACAAGTTTTCACAATTTTTTGAAAATTTTTGAAACGGCAGCTTTTTCCACATTGACACCATATGTTTCAAGTTTCTACCGTAATCCTACAGTAATGAAGAGAGATGGGTGATTCGTTCTATAATGGAAATCTAAGTGAAGCCAGCTCTACAAAACGGTACCTGAAGCAAGGCAAAAGACTTCTTGGGAAGAGAGATATTAACGATCAAACGTTCTAAACATTTTTTTGGGACACCCTGTATGTCACATTCGCGGACTTATCACGGATGTGAATAGTAGTGGGAAGATGTACATTTAAGTCATAGTAATCTAGGCATTGTAAACGTTATAGATTGAAATTCTGGATGTATTAGAAAGTTGTGGATCGTAATGACAAGCTTGAGAGATCTTTTACATCTTTCTGAAGTATTACTACAACGAACTATAAAATTGATTGACCACCTTTATTTCAACATCTTTTATTCGCTCATCGGAGGGTGGTCTTATTTCAAAACTAAGGGCGAATTAAAGATTACTTTTTTGGACTGGTCTCAAATGCAACTATGGTTACTCTGCTATTTCTGCCGAAAATCTACTTATTGAATAGTTCTCGGTCATTTCCTCTTGAAGGACCAATGCTCTGAATAAATCTTAACTTGTGTCACTGCTACCATGGGAAGTAGTACCAGGTGTCCGACTGAGTAAAAAAGTGGACTTTTTATCAGTTTCGCTCCATGCATCAAAAAATGTACTGATTATACACTTCCCATGTAAATTTTCTTCAGAAAAACTAGTGTTTTTTGTGAATAAGGGGGAAAATCAGGGACCTCGAAGAATGCGACCTGACTGATTGGAAAATTTCAAAGCGTGACTAATTTTGACATTTATTTCAGCGGTCTCGTAAATGTGGAACCGGTTATGTTCATGGTGTCCATCTCGATGGGATTCTTCATGACATCGCAACCAACCTTTATGTACTGGGCAAGATGTGTACAGATTGCGAATGGCTCACAGGTTAGCTGCCGTAAAAAATGCAAAACTTCTCATGAATTCTCAGATTTTCTAGAACTTTTTGTGGCCATTGGAATTTGGGAAAGTAGCAGATTTGGTGAATGAGAGAAAAGGTCGATAATAGGTCTTGTAGAGGGGATTACGATTTAATTTAATTGCAGCTCAAGCTCAGGAAAAACCTCAAAGTATGTAATCCGTATGAAAGTGGAAATTTCCTTGCTTATTTTGATGCCAAGAATGTCATCAGACAGACCGTTTCCATGTTACTTGAACTGCTGAGAATTTTTGTATAACCAACTTTTTTATGAAGAAACTGCGATGTTTTCCCACATTTTCTTCCAACAAAATCTCCTAAAACACACATTTCTATTTTCTACAAATAAATTGTTCAGTTATCTCTCGTTTTAGGGTCACGATTTGGCAAATGCCAGTGAAATATGTGCTGATCTAACAGACGATGTTGCTCTTCAGAATACTGTCGAGAAAGACATCGCATCGACAAAAATTTATCTACAAGTGAGTTTACTGCATTCCTGCTTCTTTTCAATCAAAACGAGTTGCAACGTAAGCTCTGTTAAAGAAATCTTGTGTTTTTAGTGATTCAAAGCAAAAAAAACTTGGAAGCTGGACGCCAAAAAAACATTCAAAATATGTTTCAAAATTTTGCTCGCTAAAATGTTCAATAATGGTTTGATTTTGATGTTAAAACGCATTGTTTCTGAAATAAATTTGGGCTGAGTGGATGTTTCAAAGTACTTGTAGTTCGATTTTTTAAATTCAAATTTTTCCAAATAAACTTTTGAAATCAAATGGGAATAACACTCTAACCTTTAGAGTTTTGAAATGTTATTTGAAACACCCTTATTGAAATTTCCTAAAATTTCTATCAGTAGGCTGTGGATATCATGACTTATAATAACGGGCTAAGGGTGTTTACGTGACTTTGTGTGTGTCTGTTACGAAATTCATGGAGCGTGTTCCAGCCAGCTTCTAAGCCCAAATTCTGTATAGCGCATGCAACCTTCATCAAAGTCTAACATGCAAAAGCACGAGTAGATTCGTTGAGTGGATCCCTCAGAAATTGCGCTCCAAACGGGTCCATCTGGCTTCTGTACCGCAAAATTCGGTCCGTATCACCACTTTTTGCAGAGTCGTGGACGAGTTTGGTAAGCAAATGTGCAAGCGATGGAGTTTAGCCAGAAAAGTGGTCGAAAGTTTACTACATAACGAAAACGGCGCCAAAATGAATTGGTTGTGTAAATGGTCAACTTGCCAAGGTTCTAGCTAAGCGCTTGAGAAGATTTTCGCACAGAGATGTAGCTCACGGTTACTATTACCTTTGTGGCAACTACTAAGCCATGACAAATCCAAAAACCTATTTAAATTTGCGTTTGTCTTTCTGCGAAAAGTTTCATCCACTCCAAATCACCGATCTCACGTGAAAAGACTTTCTAAATGAGTGGTTGTTTACATTTTATTCGTGGTAGTCGGCATAGCGCGGTGAGTTCCAGTGCCACGATTTTACGAGATTGAGTAAGGCACATAGATAGTAGAGCCAGTACGAACCTCTGCGAAGCAGAGGTGACGCACTGGTACATATATAATCTTCTAGTCTGGATAGTTTTATGTTTTTAGATAGTCAACAGCATTCCTACGATCATAATGGCTCCACTGATAGGAACATGGTCTGATAAACATGGTCGGTGGTACATATTCTTGGATAGTTCAAACTAAGATCTATTTTTAGGGCGCAAAGGACCTCTTCTCTATGCAATGTCGGGTTTTCTTCTATATGCAATAATTCAATTAGCGGCTGTGTTAACGTACGAGTATGTCAATATTTATTACTGGTATTTTGTAGGCGAAATACTAACAGGTAAATTTATATCTTCGTTCTGTGGAGATTTTGAGGTTAGTAAGAATAAAATTTTCAAGGACTCACGGGTGGAATAGGCAGCGTGTTTGGAACTTCGTTAGCCATCGTTACTGATGATTGTCGGCATAAGCTGAAGCCAGTAGGTTTAATTCACCTTTTTAGTTAGCTAATGTCAATTCCCGTAAGTTTATAAGCAAATCAAACGCTCAATCTTTTTTCGTTTGTAGAAAAATGACTTGCGACATCTTTATCAATTTTCTGATGTGTGTATTCAGATCTAATTCTGAGCAATCAGTTTGACCACGCAAAGACTATATTTTCTTCACGCGGTCGAGCGGTTATGCAATTATTAACACATTGACGACAACTTGACACACATGGTGTGCAAGCAATGACTGCCGCGTGGGACCGCTTGACACACCATGTGTGTCAAGGTTTGAATTATGTCAAAATGACTACCATCTTGGGATAAACTCATTCCATGGGCTCTCTTTTGCACTAAATCTAGGGGTGACCTCTACCTATTTTGTCAGCTTTCAGATCTACTGTAGGTGTACTGTAGATGGCATTATGCGTGATTATAGTTGAGAACTGTGGGCTGGTCCGTAAAAGGCCTTGGTCCCAGACGGCAGACAACTAAAAATCAGCATGGTCGCCAATGTGTTAAATTAGGAAAAAATTCAAATTTTTTGTCATAAGCTGTAAGTTTCGGGACTGTTTCGCATTGTAGCGGAGACCTTGCCAGCTAGTGATAGAGCTAAGGATAGAAATTTTTTACACATTGAACTAACGAAAAGATGAGAAGCTTGAGTATCTTGAAGTTTTTTCTCAGTATCAACGAAATATGCGAAGCTCCCCCGGTGAGCATTAATAATGTGAGTATTACAAGCTGTGCATCGTTTTCGCTTTTCGTTGCAGATCATTATATACATACTTTTGGCGCGAAAACTAGCAAAAAAAAATAGGACAATGTAAACTGCGTTCAATTACATATTTATGATTCTTTCTTTGAGGAGAAATCTGTCGTGGTGCAAGAGATTCTAAAATAAAAATTACTATCCTTCTTGATTATTTCGAATCAACTGCAAAGTTTTGCTTTTGCTTCTTGAGGAGACTTATATAGTATCTGTGAAGCCAAAAACGTACTTGAGTTCTGGGGAGAGCACATTATACATAAAATCTTACCAAACTAACCTTTAATTCAACTGGAATGGCGGCTGAAAGGCGGGGCTTTGTGACCTAATTAAGGCCGCTCGCCTCGCGAAGCTGTCTGCGTCGCTCTCGCGCGCATGCTCTCCAATCATTCTCTAGCCTTAACTAGGTCATGAAGCTCCGAATTCTAGTTGCCAATCCAGTTTGGTTCCAAAGGATACATGTTTTAGGGCTCGTCCACAGTGCCCATGAGAATCGGCATTGCTTCGTTTGTACAGTCCATCGGCAGTTTAGCTGGAACATTTGGAATGTCTTTCCTGGCTGTGCAGAATGGGTATTCAGTCCGTGCGCACAAGTTCAGCTACATTAACGCTTCCACCATACGTAAGCATGCATTAACATACAATTTTGGCAAATCTCATTGTAAGAAATTTTAGAGCTTGGGTTTGTGGTGATGGCATATGTCTATGCGTTTTTCTTTGTGCGAGAAACACATTTTCCGCATCCGGATGGTTATCTGTACAATAACCTTGAAAGTAAGTGGAATTTCGTCTTCTTCAGAATCGCTAAGGTAAGTGATAAGGGCCGGGGGGGGGGGGCATAATTATTCAGTTATAAAAGGCATGGCTGAGGTTTTTTTATGGGGGCATTTATAATCGATGAACATGCATTTTCTTTCTTGCAGTCTTTCATTGATTAAGTGAAATTTCTTTGAAATCCTTCTCTGAAATCGCGAAAGAAAGGTTGGAGAGGAGCGTAATTGACTGGAAGAAAATGTTGCGGGTTGCAACGGTCAAAGCATTTTCTGAAGTTGATAAACATGCATGTTTCTCTTATGTTTTTTCTTTCTAGGAGAACAACAAGGTCGATCTATTCCACCTTCATCTAGTACCGTCACTGAACAGATCAAGCCTAAATCTTTACTTACCAAGTTCAAAGACAATCTTCTCGCGTTAGGCGAGGTAATTATCTTTATTCTAAATTTACGTTCTCATTGCCCTTCCGGCTAACATCGAAATGTTATAGGTGCTGACGGAAAAACGTCCCGGATGGACAAGATGTTGCTTAATCATGTCGCTTGTCTTCGTCATGATGGAGTTTTTGGCTTTAGGTGAGTTTGTTAGCATCAAAATAATACGCAGCATTCATTGGTCTTTTATCACTGAAAAACTTATGAAGAGAAAGTGAGGATCTTTCAAAATTCATAACATTATCCGAAAAATCCCCAATTAACGGAATGAAAGCATGCTCATTCATCGGTCATTTCCTACAAATGCCTATAAGTCCCAGAATTTCCTTGCGGCAGGGGAGGGACGACACAAATTTTTTGTCGAATAAAGGTGTGTGGTATCAGCCACGCACTCCAAAAATTCTTTCGGGATGCTTCCCAAAATTTTACGCGTGACGAAATTTCTTTTAAAAGGCTAACAAGAAGTTTTTGGAAAATTTGAAACATTATTCTACTCTTCACAAGTATGAACAAGTCACTTGCATGTTTTATGAAGGGCCGGGCATACTTCACGCGATTTCAGTCGCGACGCGATTTGGCAATTCGCCAGAAGTCTACAGATACAACACTAGCAAACTGCGCATGCATGGTGTGTATAGCTTACGTGAATTGATAAAATGCCCTGTCTTCTATACATTTAGAATGTGCTTACAGTGAGTTATGCACAGTTGGAATATTGCCAAATCGCGTCGCGACTGAAATCGCGTGAAGTATGCCTGGCCCTTGACTCATTTAGTAGCTCAAAAATCGCGATACTCATTTTCGAGAGGAGGAAGAGAGGGGGGGGGGGGAAGGGAGAGGACGTTTCCTACTTCTTCCCCTCTCTGTCCGCCACTGATAGCATAAAGGAATATTTTCTGAATATTTATGTATATAGCAAAACTCTTTCGCAGGCTTGGTGCTTACATTGCAGAATGTGTACCTTTAAGGCTTTCAGTAAAAAAAAATTGACGACATCGTATTTTGCACGTATTTTTACGTACAGCAGAGTTCCATTTTCAATGTTGATATTATTTTGATAAGATATTAGATTGAGATTTTTCTTTGTTACACTAGTGCACCTTCAGATGCATCGCTATTGTTCCTACTTGTCAAACGACATCCATTCTCATGGAGTGATAAGACATTCAGCTATTTTTCACTAGCTCGAGGTGTGCTGTTTTCAGCTGGAATGATAGTCTGTAAGTACAGTTTTTATCTTCACTGTTTCATATTGATGAGTTAGAACACTGAATATTCTGCATTTTAGGTCCTCTTCTCCTAACGCTAGTTCATTGGTTGGGCAAGGACAGCTTGATGATTTTAGTTGGTATCAGTGCATCGGCGGCATCGTTCTTTGTTCTTGCGCAAGCTCACACTACCTTGGAGATCTTCTTGAGTGAGTTCACCTATAATTCTTTTGATTCTGTTAATCGCTCGTTCCACAGTTTGAAATAGTTTGAATTCACGTGTAATAATGCTTTTACTCATTGAAAAAAAACCGGAGAAATGTGACTACTCTTGGATTTGAAAATTTATAGAAGAAATAGCTATTGCAAAGCTTTTCCCAGCCTTTTGGTTGTTAAAATTCTTTCTAATTTGACTCTCACGAAGTTTGAAAACTGCAAAGAGTTGAAAAATGTTACTATCTGGTCGCCATGAATTGAATCTTGTTTCACTCCCCTTTGGAGTAGGAGGAAGCTAAAGCTGACGATTTTTCCATCACCTCTAAGGCAGTGTCCCGGCAAGATTTCGTTTTCCTTTTTTTTCTCTTTTTTGGACCCTTCTCGTCGTGGGGAACCCATGTCCGGGCTTCTCACTTCATGAAAATGGCGAAAATGAGCTTTTCTCGAAGCTTTTCGGGTCTGCACTCAAAATACGTGTAAGGCGAAGTCTGAAACGAGAGGCGGAAAACGGAAGACTTCCAGCGTATCTTCACTGAATGCGGGCCTAGAAAGTTCCGAACGAGGCTCATTTTCGCCATTTTAGTGCGCTGAAAAGTCCAGTTATGGATTCCTCACAGCGAGAAGGCTCCGAGGTAGAATATGACCAACGAAATTCTGCCGAGACGCTGCCTTCAACTCAAACAATTCACCGGAACTTCCGCAGAACGTTTGGGAAATTGGGCAGGACAAGATTTGCAGCGGTTCCGCGGGGATCTGTTTACTACTGCAAAAGTGGGATGAAAACGGAAACTCCCGCAGGACTTTTTACAAAGCGCTTCCGAGGAACTTCCGCAGAATGCCAGCGGTTCCGCAGCACTTTGCCATGCCAGTACTTCCGCAGGGTTTTGAATGTGTTGTCTTGTATGATGTTGCCTCGCCAACAACTAGAGTGCATTACCGAACATGTCTAACGTAGTGCAGAAGGTAGTAGGTGATCTCGCAGCCAATAGAGTAAGGTTGGAATCTCGCTTAGATCTTTCTTTTGCTGTCGTGGTTTGCATTGTTCGGAACCTCCGCAGGTAACCCGGCGCAAACTTCCCAAACGTTCTGCGGAAGTTCCGGTCAGTTTTCTGAGAATGAAGTCAGTATGGGAACCCGTTTTTTTTTTGAATAACATTAGCTGAAAAATAAGGTTTTGCTGTGCTGAGAAAATCAATCTCATTATGAGTACAAAAATGGTTTTTCAAGCTATGTACGCCATTTCCGATAATGCTGTTTTTTTAGAGCATTCTTGAGACTTCAATTGTATTACTGATTTTTGACAGCAGTCGATTATCAAATTTTTTGTTTAGCCTCTGCATTTGGCCTTTTATGTGGCGGCATTCCACCTGGTTACCGTTCATTCCTACCTCGTATGGTTCCCAAAGAGCAAACAGCACGACTATTAACGGGTAAGTGATTTATTATGCTGAATCAGTGCAGCAAGCTTACCCATGGATTTTAGTATGCTCGATAATCATGGCATTTTGCCCAATGATCTCTACTCTGATCTTCAATTCCATTTATAATGCGACACTAGAATGGTGGCCAGGGTTTGCCTTTTTTGTTGGAGGGATTCTTCAAGTGCTCGTCGTTATTGGACAAGGGTTAGTCACAATATTTATTCAGAAGTATTCATCTCAGTGCAACGCGAACTTTTCAGAGGTATTCATATTCTGATGCGTCCACAATGGCTTCTTGAGAAGAAATTGAAGACACAGATGCAATCCAACACAGTGGTGCCAGTAGGTGGAGACGTGGAGGATAATGGTGAGTTATGGTTCTGGTAGAAATCAACCCAATGGCTTTTCATTAGGTTTTAAGTGTTACACTTTCTTCGTCTTCCTCTGAAAACTTGAAATTCGATAAGGTCTCATTATGACATATACTGGGAAAAGGTAAAGGGCTATACGCTGGCACCATTTAGGCCCTTACGATATGACTTACAGTAGATGTAAAGGCAACTCGATAAGAGCACTCATTTTCAAAACAATTCCTAATCTTGGCTATTCTTCTTTCCCATCTTCTTAAATTTTTTATCTTTGGGAGCATTGGTAGTAATACAAAGGCAGTTTGGAGGTTATAATCTTTATAACCATAACTGGAATCTTGCCAAAAATTATTCGGGAAATTTTCAAAATTCGAAAAAATTTTTATGTGTAACATGTGTATATACCGCAACACTGCACATAACTTGTAGTGAGGAAAAAATCATTTGTCAAAGTTAAGAGGATTTTTTCAGTCGAGTGTAAAACTTATGTAGCAATCTAATATTTTGATTTCAGAAGCCGGTACCGTATCCACCTCTGCCAGCACATCACTCCAAAATGAGACGGTTGCCGAGCAGCGACGTGGAATAAATCCACATCCCATCTAAAATATACTCTGCGATACATTTATATTCACTTGGCAATGATTAAAGCGGGATTCTGTGTAGACAGAAATCAATTTTTTTACGGAAGTTTCGAAGTCCTAGTCGTGTATAATGCCCAAGTAACGTCACTTTCTCTGTGTCTGTCATGTAGACCCTACGATTCTGTATATAGTGTATATTGGCAAACTATCTGTACCCTGTCACTTTGTCAACTAATAAACTGAATGAATTTTCAACAATAAAATAATCCCAATAGTTCAAATGGACGTAAATGTTAAGCAGCATCTCATAGCCAAAAGGCGAACTCTTTTTGTATTCTACGATCATATATTTTTCGAGGGAATGAGCCAGACTGTGCAGGCTAGCAATGAATCGCAGCATTTTTCGAACCGGATTTTGTTGTCTATTTTGAATTTGCACACTTTTGACCTTATCTACTCTCTGAAAGTGGTTATGTATAGCATATCTCTAATTGTGAAAATTGTCTTATCATAAGATTTGTGAAATGACAGTTCGCGACGTATGGTGTGCGAGCAGTGGACAGGGCTTGAGAAGCATATCTCCATGCCACTTTTGAACATTTCACTGCCCTTTGACTGCGCGTGGGCGTCGGTAGTCAAGTCAGAGCGATTATTCCTTCTTTGGACCTTGTATCTTTGACGCTCTTCCGAGTCCCAGCAGAAATGAGAAGATTAGTGAGAGTAGATTCTTTCGTAAGAATTATGAAGAACTTTGATGAACTGGATGTGTCACCCTCAGAGTGGCATCAGAGTGCCAGTTGCCGATCTTGTTTGGAAGAAGTTGGGCGCAGAAATTGGGCGCCCACCCACGCGCCAAATTTTTCCTTCCTTCGCGCTTTTCTTAGGCAAAAACCGTCGCTGCCTGTGTCACGCGGCGGTGGTACCGCATGGATAGCATTAAGGTAGTGCGAACCGCCTTCTTCCTTCTTTCCAGTTATGCGGTCTTGCTGGTCCTCCATTGTCATCTAACCTGCCTTCGGTCAGGTACCTTCTGGCCTTGCTAAAGTATTAAAGAGAACTGGCGCTAATTAACTTCTTTGGCTTGATCCTGTCGGGACCAGGCGCTCTACGATTCATTATTGACATGGTGTGCCACTATAGGGCAACTATAACACTGGGAGCTGACACAACACGTCGCGTTCAACGTTTATTGTGACACTGAAGAAGCTTACAACAAAAGAGTCCCGTTGACCCTCGAACCCGCCCGCTTCTTCTTCAAGCCTTCGCGGCTTCAATCAGCCATTAATGCTACTCTTCACTCAAAGTCTTCTCTTATCGCTTCTCAGCATCGCTTCGCATGTTCGGACGTCAGTGGATAGTTGCCTGTGCCTCGTGCTCCAGGCGCGTAACTGCTCCACACTCTCCAGTAGGAAGATGGGTTTTCGTACTTCCTGGGCTCTCAGCTTCTTTAGAGCAATCTGATGCTGGACCATCGTATTGATTTCAGGGACCACGTCTGCAAGTGCAGAGGAATTTTCGTTCATTGAAAATCTTCGAGTCGCTACTTTGCATTGCCTCTTTTCGTTCCATTTTTTTCTGTACATACAGAGGAAAGTGTAATGCCCTTTAACATTGTATTTATCGAATCCTGCAAGCATTCTTAGTAAAAGCACCAAGTACAACGCTATTATGCTCCTTACTTCTATACTTGCCATTTGGATTGCTGGAATAAATTTGAAATTGAAATGAATACGAAAAAACATTGGAAGAAGCATGATAAAAATGCACATCTTCCTTAATGCAAATAGATGTCCTTAAAACATGCCCTGACGCTGTTTTCCAAACATTCAATCACACTTTCATTGCAGTAGAAACAAAACCTCAAGCTTAATATGGGAACCCATTTGGTGCAAGTGGTAGTGCTCGCAAGAAATGGTTAAAAAGGACAAATTTCTCATCTATCATTATTAACGTCTCGTAAGAAATCGAGAAACTGCTGACGCAGAAGTTTTCCCATGAATATTAGAAGACCATGTGGATATGTTAGTCAAAAATCAAGTCAATAAGTGTTAAATTTTGCGGCGTTTGCGAAAAAACTAGGAAATATTGAGTCGTTACTAAGCTTTGGTACACTTTAAATTTTCCACAATCTATAGCACTGATTATATTCATTTTCCCTTTAGAAACCAAAATTTTTGCTTTACTAAAATTGAGCTGGGTTTTCACATAAATAATTGCAGAGTTTTGTAAGTACGACCGCAAGTTTTCTCTTGCTTTCTATAAACGTTAATTTTCGAGAATTATCAAATGTAGCTATCCCCAACAGATGTATGTTAAGACAAGTATTTTCAGGAAACATTAACTTGTAGAAAGCTACAACTTTACGGCTACGTTTACGGAAGTTGTAGTTTACATTAGGTTGGTGCAAAAGTAAAATCATTTTGCGAATTCTCACCTTGACACACTACAGTGCTGGACATAATTATAGAGACATTCTAGAAATCGTAATTTTCGTTCTTGTCAGTGAATCTATCTGAAACTTTGCTGTATGGTGCGCATGTAAGCCTACCATAACTCCTCAGAACGGCTTCCAATCCCGTTGATTTCGAACGGAGAAAAATGGAAAAATTCGAAAAAGCCTGTTTTGCAACCTGGACTTAATTATAAGGACACCTGGCCATTTTAAACATTATCGCATTCCTTGACTCCCAAATTTTTATGTAGAGTTACATCTCAGAATATGAAACTTTTGCAGCACCTACGACCTGTCATGCTACTCAAGGAAAGATGATCCTTGCATTTTTCATTTCCAAAGGCATCAGAAGTCAAACTGCGCCAACAAACAACTGGTTTGAGAAATTCAAGCCCGGGTTTAATTCAAATGACAGTCCTGGAATACACTTAGCCTTTTTGATAGATAAGGTGAAGAGTGCTTCTACAAACTCCGCTTAATCGCTGATATTGACAATCAGGCTCCAACCTCACCATAGGGTTGTCGCGCTTTTGCATCACAAAACTCGATTTTCAAGTTACAGAAAACGCTGCAATGTAGCCGCAACAATATACGTACAACAATAAACTTGTGTGCCTAGTCAGGAAAAAATTTCGGGGTTTCACATTCTGGTTCAGCCGCAGTTGTCATCCGTTGAGAGTTGAGTCGAGCACCCTGCACAATCGTATCCAATTTAAATCAAGAAATCGAACAGGAGACCGCTTGAAACTTCAAAATCTTGCTAATCTCAGCTAGCGCAAAATGCGACATGAAACAGAGAATAAAATAGTGAGATTTGATTACGTTGAATCTACTGCTCGCATAGATTTTTCGTTGAAAGTATTTCAGATCTCCATGGCAACTGCAGCACTAGAAAAAATCTGAAAGTTGTTGCAAAAGATGCATCTCCATGTAGACAATGTAATAAATCGAGTCCATCACTTCATGAACATTGGAAAATGAGTTTTGTGGTGTAAAAGCGTGACAATCTTATGGGGTTGGAGTCTGTCCGTCAAAATCAGCAATTACGCGGAGTTTGTAGAAGCGCTCTTCACCTTATCTATCAAAAAGGCTAAGTGTATTCCAGGACTGTCATTTGAAATGAACGCGGGCTTGAAAACTTTTCAAACCAGCTGTTTGTTGACGCAGTTTGACTTCTGATGCCTTTGGAAATGAAAAATGAGGATCATCTTTCCTTGAGCAACATGACAGGTCCTAGGTGCTGCAAAAATTTCATATTCTGGGATGTAACTCTACAAAAAAATTTGGGAGTCAAGGAATGCGATATGTTTAAAAAGGCCCGGTGCCCTTATAATTATGCATGCGCACTGTTGCGGCTCGGTGGGCTCTGCGCCCCCTCACCTAGTGCTCGACTGCCTAGCGTCCAGCTCCTGTCCCCGAAGGACTTCCGCAGCTGCGGGTGGGCCCAGCCCACAACGGCGCGTTACGCCTACACGAACACGAAACAAATAACATACATAAAATTTACTAAATAAATATACACGACTAAAACATACGATATAAACAAATGTAAATATACATACCACGGGGAGAGTTAAGCTCTACCCCGGGCTACCGATGGGGACTCTGGCTTACTCACGCTCACACACTAGCACACTCACACACTCTCCCGGAATCCAAGGGAGCTACCCACAGGCCGGCCGCGCGCCGCCAAGGCAGCAGCTACGGCACGGCAACACCGACCCCATGATGTTAACCATCAGCATCGAACAAGCTCCCAGCAAATCCTGCGCGGCCAAGGCGCTTCGTGATGTTCATCATCCTGGAATTCTATCCTCGCGCATACATCCAAACAATCCATCAACGATCCATCCAATCGCGCGAGGCACGGGGACGTAGACACGACGGCGATATCGTGGAAACCCAACCAATCAATAACAAAGGCGGCACGACGATAATAGTAAGATGATAAGACGAGAGAGGCCGCACTGGCGCGCGTACGCGCTATTTATAGCGGTGGCTGGGGGCGTGCCTACGTGGTGTGGTCTCGGAGCGAACAAGGTAGCCGCCGTAAAGCGCGGCGACCGTGCTCACGACCGAGACGCGCGGCAACACGGTGCTCCCGGCCACATGCTGTGAGGAGCGGTCGATCGCGAGCCGCGACACTCCCCCACACAGCGAAAGGCATTGGGCGTTGCGAATAGGTGGTCACGTGATAGCACCGTGACCTGGGGCAACTGCCTTAACCTAAAAAATTTGGGCGATGATAGAAAAAAAAAGAAACATGCGACATCGGTAGCGAGGGAACAGGCAATAACCCGCCCCGTGGTAAGGCACAAAAATAAACACAAAACTACAGGCGCTTTGACGCGCAGGTGACTACTAGAATAAACCGGAGCGCTCAAGGCGCTTACCAAATAAATATGAATAATGATTAAAAATACTTCTACAGCTACTAAGCTATGTACAACGTTTCAGGATAGACGCTCCAGCCCATAGCATCATCATCGCTCCATCTCGCCATCTCACCATCCATCTCGACCAGGCGCTGATCTTACCGCGCATCCAAACCGCATTACGTCCCTCGTACCATCACATCTAACCACTCTAAATACACTCGTACGTTCAACATCGAGGGAGCGTAATGCCCGAAACGAAACCTACCGCCCTGCGAACCTACATGACGCGCGTCCTGGAACGCACACCCTGAAACAAAGGGAAACCTCCACCCTCTCTTGATTTTGACTTAATTTACGATAAAAAAGCACAAGATAAAGCAATGAACTGAGAGGGTGTTGGCTTCCAAACGAAAAAAGTACCACGTCTTTCCAGAAACATT